CTGATTCCCACTGTGTGTTCCAGTTACCAAGAAGCAAAATATGATGACAGTTTATTTTTAAGGCACTTACTATGTTGTTTTCTCTTGTAGGATCAATAACTGTGTTGGAGAAGCTAATCAGAAGTATTTTATTTTATTCCTGTTTTACACAGGTAGGAGATTTCTAAACTGTTTGGACATCACTAATTTCATTCAGACCTTTTTTTATTAAGTCTTTTTTTCTCTGTCAGTTCATGACATGTTCAGTGAACATTTAATTCAGATTTCTAAAAAGTGTTGAAAAAAGAGGAAATACTGCTTGCTTTCTAATTACTCTTACTATGGGTTTGTATGGATGAAGGTTTGTAAAGACAGTTGAGTATATTTTTAATAAAGTTGTCCAAACCCTCAAGTATACAAGATATTTTATCTCATGTGATTACAACCCTCTTTATTTCTCCCAACTTCCTTGGTGTTTAGATGATACCATGTAAATCACAGAAAAACTGTTCTATTACTGATAAACATTAAATACACATATTGGTATCAAATGGGAGACTTAAAGACAAAATGGGAATGATACTTAAGGAAAACAAACTTTTTTACTTTAATTTAATTTGGACAAACCAGTGCCAGTAAAAGCCTTCTATGGACAGTTGTGACCACAAGCTTTTGGAAGATGCAGCTGACCTTCATTGGGTCAATCCTCTTTGTTGTTAACATTTCTTTTCTTAGTACCTCATCTTACCTTCTAGGTCTAGCATCACTTTACTCCATAATTCTCACAGCTGTGTCCTGGACAATGGAATGCAATGGCTGTACCAAAGATTACGAGAAAAGAACACGATTGTAAGTCTGCCTCGCAAAGAAGCAGTCAGTAAACAATTGGTTAAAATATAAGAATTTCATCCAACAATAATCATTATCACATTGATTACAGAAAATATGTGACATCCCACTTAAATGTGCATTTAAGAAATAGTTCACAGACAGATAACTTTCAATTTTTTAAATTCATAATTTGTAACTCTCCTTCCCTAAACCCTTTGACTACCAGAAGTGATTAACACGTAACTTCTCCCTATAATATCCATTCGTTATTCAGCAAACAGGTGATGAGAATACTCAAAATATCAGGTAAAGGTTGTTATCTTGATTGAACACCAAATTCTTGTGACCAATTTAGAGGAAATATGTGGCAGCTAAAGGGGAGAATTGATAATCAGATCTTGGGTGTTAAAGGGTTAACACTCTTGAATGAGGTTTCCTTTAAACTTTAAACTTTAATTATAAATACTCCCAAAAAAAGGTTTTACAATATCTATTTACAAATATGAATGCTAACTATATCTGACAAGCTATTGTTAAATTCTAAATTCTAACTGTCACTCGATCATTCATTCATGGCAAGTCTCAGGACTTTTTTAAAGGCCTTTACAGATGTAATGTTTCTCAGGTCTTCGTCTAACTTGTTCCACAGAGATATTGCTCTATAGGCAAAGGACCTTTGGCCGGTAGCTGATCTGAATAATGGAATGTCAATCTTCTCATTATTACGAGTTATGCGATTATGTAAGAATTTATTTTTTAAGAATTCATTCCTTAAAAAATGAATTCTTATTTTCCTTTCTGTATTCATTGTAAGTACACATTTTCTGTCTCATCATCTAACATAACACTGTTTGTTTATTTTTCAGAATATACACTGTAATTCTGATGATTGAAGGTGTTTTGTTTGGTCTATTTGTCCTAGCCATGTTGTGTGATCAGGTATGTCCACTGATCACCATATTATGAACAGCACATCTATCACTACAAAGCTAGTATTTGAAAACCTTTGCCAGTTCCAAGCCCTTTGCCAGTTCCAAGCCCTTTGCCATACAGTAGAGTATGTTCCAATGTAGTCTGATACAATAATGCAACAGGCTGAAATTCAAGGAGAAATTTACTGAGCAATGACTCTAGAAGATTTGACCTCTGTTGCAGATTTGCAATGACATATCACTGATATTATGGTAGGGGTGACTGGTCAGAGAACCTGGGAGATATCCTTAGCAAGTGTTTTTACCTTTCCTGGACCTGACCCTGCACAGAGTTATGTATCTATGTAAACTTGACATGACAGAAGCTGATTCCTGACAACCTGAATCAACTAGACTTACTTGAGTGAGTTGTTAACTATAATTTCAGCCTGGTATTGCATCAGTTGAGATTTTCCTCACTGTCTTTTGCACTTCAGTACTCAGCTATCACAGGTGACCTCACAGCTGTGGAACATGTACAGCGGCAAATCAGAGCAAACCGCAAACCAAGGAGTGCTCTCTTAGCTGAAGTGTTTGGAAGAGGTATTTTTCTATTTCAATATAATGTATCTACACATAGAAACATAATATCGTCATTATTTTTATTATGATTTTATAATTACTACTATTATTGTCACTGTTATTATTATTGTTATTATTATCATTATTATTATTATTATTATTATTATTAACATTATTACTGTTCTTACTAGTGATACCACTACAACTGAAACCTTTTTCCTGTGCAAAGTAATGTGGTAGTAGATTTTTGTACTATGTGATGCCTCATGGTTTATTTTAATTTATTACACAGGTGGATTTTTCATTTGGTTCTGTCCATGTTCTTCTCCTCCCAACCCACAACGGTCAACAGCATCAGAACGCTATAATGTCTGACCGGCATGGTTTCAGAAAGAACAAAACAATGAAGAAGGAGAATCTGGGATCCTTTCAGAAGTCATGAAGTTAAAGCATTTCCTAACTTCATTTGTGGAGTGTAAACCTACCCTCTCACATAATTATGACAGCCTTTATTAATTCCCAGGATCTGACTTGCATTTCTCCTATCCACAGCACATTTCATGTAGATCAGTTAATTTAGGTGTTACATTGAGATATCACCCTCAAGCTGACAATTTTGTATATTTTCATTATATGTTTCCTGGATAATGTATTGCTGTGGAAAATTACTAATGAACCAGCATAGAGCTGAAGGTTGCTGAGGAATTGCTTTTCCTGTGATTTCAACCAAAGGACACACCCTTTAAAGTTGACCATAGTTTGACCAGCCCATGGATGCATTCATTATCATGCATTGCAAGGTCATTACAATGATTGGCATTGTCACTCTGAATTTTTTATTTGTCCCATGCTTGTGATAAGACAGAAAATGTCTTTCTCTAACCCAGTTCTTGTATCAACACAAACAATGCAAAAGAATTGCTTTAATTTCAAATTTTGCCAGTGTCAGTAACTTTAAATGAAATTTATTTTTGTTGTGAAGATCAGTCTGACAAATCACCATTACTCCAGAACAAAATACATTTTAAACAGAGATACATGTAACTCTAATCGTTGTAAAATAGTTATCCAATTCAGCTTTAAAAGTGGCAAATACTGTTTTGTAAAACTTATTTTCAAAAAAAGTGCATACTATGACTATATTTATTTAATGAGATAATTTAAGAAACTAGTCATAAATTTTTCACAAAACAATGCATAGTATGGATCCCATTCACTTTTAGTAACAGTACATTATTAACACATGTGCAAAAGTGCAAATTTCAAGACTGCAGGTTGTCACTGTGTTTTATTTTAAGACTTCTTTGATATGCAACAAGATCAACTAATTAATTTCTACATTATTGTCAGAGCCCTTTTTGATTGAGAGTTGCAAAACCACAACCAAGGCCATTGCAATGGCTTCTCAGAAGAAAGGGAAATACCTTTAAGACCCAATGAATTCTTAATGTAAAAACAACCAACTGCCTAAAGGACGGGAAAACGCGGGCAACCAAGTTGTAATTGGTTTTGGATTTGCATCCGATTCGTTGAAAGAATGGCACGAGTTTTTCTAGACCAATCACAGAGTGAAGTGAAGCAAAGCCAATGCAAACCTGGATTACTTTGGACTTTTAACTCAAAATTCCTCCAAAAGAAGCTTTGTATCAACTTGACTTCACTTTTCTCTTGTGGTATGAAAAAGTTGGCTGAAAGAAGAACCTGTGTGCAATCCATTCTCCTGATCCATATTTCTCCACCCATATGTATAATAAGGTTGACAAACTAGCTTGCAAACGAAATTATTTTCAAGTTTTAAGGTTTGTAAAGGTAGTAAGCCTTTTCCTCTGTTAAAAACGCTAAGATGCAATCATTTTTAAATATTTATCTTATACTGTTATTGTGAGTAAGCTGAAGATTAAAAAATGTGACATGAAGAACAATTTTGATACATCAGAAAACAACATGTATTCCAGAACACGATAAAGAAATTATACTATTCAATGAAAACTCTACCAGTAGAACCCTAAGAGTGACCAGCATTTAATTTCTCCTTGTAGTAATTCATTAAGGTTGTGAGAATAAATGAATTGATCGCTTATTCAAGAAAGAGGCTTTGATTATGAAATGAAATCTGCTCGATGTTAGGTTCGAGGGGTTAAAACGATAGGAAACTCCAGCTATCAACTCAAAAGATTTTGTAGTTCATACGTATGCACTCAAAAGACGTGTCTTTTTTTGTAGCCCAATCGTCTGATTATATCAGATATTTCAACTTTATGTATGTGATAAAAATTTGGTATCCCAGGTACCAAAGTTTTATCAAACATGCACAAAATAAAACACAATAGTAATTTCTGTTGTGATACACATTAAATAACTCTATACACAGTCTTTTTTTTTATATAGACGATGGTAACAAGGCCATCACTCATCATCATCGCCGTGAAGCGTGACTCTTGCATTTTATCGTATCATGACTTGACAACTTTCGTTACAACCAAAAGAGTTCTATATCTACATTGGAAAAGCAATATTTCGGAAAGCTCCTAGACTTTAAGTATATCAGAGTACATTGTGCTTGTTTAGTAGACAAAGCGTGATTTTCTTAGGAAGGAGCACGCCATGCTCGCATTGTCCTTAAAGCTAGGTCATTGCACCTCTTATAAGCGTTAAGTTACGTGACGAACAGTATTCTGAACCATATATACAATGTGCCAAGAACCCGTCAAGATATCTCAGTTTATATAAAAGCTACTGTTCTCCAACATGTAACAGTAATCGCGACTCGTGATTTACCAGTCGAGGCCACCCCAGTTCGAGCGGTCCGAGTCAACTTAGTGGGAAGCAGCTCACCAGGAAGTCCACTGAGGCCAACTATTGTGCGAATGATCCGTATCAAACTAATGGAAACAGTTAACGAGGAAAGTGTTCCCAAAACGGTGCATTACGTATCGCCCACGGGGGGAAATATATAGATCCTGTACGAATTAAAAACTGGACATGAGATTCGATGTAATAGGGATAAAATCACAGCTTGAGCACCGAAGTTACCGTACCTGAGAACGCTAAAGTGACCTCAATGATGAAGACATTGAGGTTTTTCCTTCTCTTCCTGTTTGTTCTGTCATTCAGCTTTACACTCACCGTCAGTGATCAATGCGAAAAAGACAGCTGTACAAAAGCTCTCATTCAAACGTTGGAGGGCACAATAGATAAAAGGTTCAGAAAACTTGAAGCTGACATGGAAGTGATCATTCGTGGATTAAATCTGTCGCAGAATTTACAAGGTATGAGTGTCAATCGTTCGCGGAATTTGCTTGTTTAAAACTTGTTTCAAAGAATGAGTATCTCTGCGACATTCACTGAAAACTCAACCTTAAGTTTAACAGGACTTATCATCTGCTTCTCGTTCAAATGTGTTTGGTTTGTTCTTGGTATCATGAAACATTGCTTTACTCTCTTCACAGCTCCATCTGGGTATGCAACTTGCAGAGATATTTACCTCAATCACGGCAAGTAAGTGTTACTTAAATTATTGACGAATGTAAAGAAGAACCAATAAAGAGTGCTTTTAGGTAAACTTATTGTATAGTTGTTCGATAAATTTGCGCGAGGCTTACATGGTTTCGTCAAATTTTTCTCTCTCATCTTCGCCCAAGAGCCCGCCTTTGGATGCCAATATTTTATTCACCCCGTTTGATCGAGACAATAAGCGTTTCTGCCCAAAATGTCGACGGATTTATGGATGTGTCTAAACAGTTGAGGATCGAAATTCCTCTTTAGTGTAAAGTTTTATGAGTCCAAATAGTCAAGAAACGATAAATTCCGTAACATTTAATTGCGAATCTTGGAAAATCTCCTATAGTATATCAGTCTTATTATCTACCTATATGCGTCACAGATCACTAGGGAACACAGCTTACATGCTCCAGACTGACACAGGAACAATTCCTGTATATTGTCACATGACGAACGATGGCATTGGTGCATGCGGAGGTGGAGGATGGACGCTGGTCATGAAAATGGATGGCCATAAGGTAAAATGGCAATACAATTCTATTCACTGAATAAGTATGTATGCTGTTAACTCTTTGCTGGGAAAAACTTTGTATGGAAACCATGTTGTGGAGTTCTGATTTGCCACTAAATGACGTCGGCCGTTTTCTTATGGTGTCATAAAATATTCAAATTTTGATTTCTGACAACATCAACCCGCTTCTGTGTTTATCATCACGTATACAGCTCGTTCAGTTGACACTTGTCATTTTTCATGTGAACAGCTGTAAGATAAGAATTGTCTGTGCTCAGTTATGAGGTCTCCTTCCATGCCTGCGCTTATGACAACGGCAAACAACAAAAGTCAACTCTAATTTTGTTCACGTTTCCTATAATCCTCAAAATCACGTTTGAATAAAAATTGGAAACAATTCTTTTTAACAGTGATTTAATATATTTCATTTTAGCTTCAGTTATATTGAGGTAATTTCAAATGTAAACACTGTATGATAAAGGCGACACAAGTCGCGACATTTCAAACATATATTAAAACAATACTGCGTTGAAGCTAATTCCAAGCAATAAAGATAAAAAAACACCTTTGCAAATTAAAGTTAAATGTTGAAACAAACAAAATTGAATTCGTAACAATTAACTTCTGCCTTTTGTCTGCGTTAATTTTGGCAACTAAGTGTTAGTCAGTGTTTACGCATACAAAGAATGATCTTCAAGTCTATCATTTCTAACATGTTGCATGCCAATTGAGGCTGATCTTATTAGTTCCAAATGGCTCGCGTTCAGTTATACACCGAAGCTGGGTTCCTGTAAGTGCAAAAATAGTTCATCTCATTCCGAGGTAGCAATGTGAAAGGAATCCGTAGCGGGCACTGCGGTCTTCTTTAGCAAAATAACTATCGATATCACTCCAGAGCGAGGATTTATTTGAAGGAAAAGCCTTTGCTTTTCATGATCAAATTGAGTCGGTGTCCTGGTACATTTAATTCTTAGGAGGATACATTCTCGTTTTCCGTAGGTATCCCTTGACAGTTGTCGCAGTACAATACAATACAGTACAATGTTCTTTATTTGGAGAGGGTAGATACATGATTAACCCAGTAAAGAGTTTTCTAACACATGGCCCTCTAATAAACCCANGTGAGAGATACTTTCAGCACGAGAAGATAAAATTCGTATCCCCAAGCGGCCATGTAATGTTCTGTTTATTATATAGATACTGATGAAATTTCCACATAAAAGACAACTTTTTTTATTCATTTTCGAAACAGCAATTGGGTAATTATGTTGGTAACCATGGCCACACCAATATCCTCACACGTGAAAGATAAAAATAGTATCTTCACTGCGCGCGGTGAAGATATGATTTTTTAGTAAAAGGAGAAATCCTGGTATTTCATTAGTATCTATATAATAAATTTTAATTTTACCTGTCCAGACCAGCTGATACTGCGAGCTCGCTCTTCGTTTTCACGGCTGTCTTCACCAGTAGACCAAGGATATGACGACAGAGACCTACAAACGACAAAAGCAGCCAATCAAAACAGACATTCAAAAGGACAACCAGTAGGAAGTCAAAGCAAAGTAAACGCTATCGATGAAAAGGGCGGGAAAACTATGCACGTAAGTAAAACCAGGTTTTATGCGGTGGGTTGATTAGATACTATCAATAAATTCACGAAAATCTAACTACTCTAAAATAAAATTTTATACAAAAACTAGTGATAAGAAAGAAAGAAAACAACCTACCCAGTGCTGAAAAGGCTGCTGGTAAAAATATCCATTCCAGGAAGCGGATCCTAAGGAAGCAAGGCTCAACAATCAGCTATATATGTGTACAACCAGATTACTCTCTAAAACTAGTTTAAAATATTCACTTCTGAAAAGGGTACAAATGAGGAAACCTTTAAGAAAAAATACCTCCAATTTTCTTCCAGACGGGAATGTCTCTGAAGTTATGTCGGGGAAGCCTATAAAATAAAAATAATGGCGAGAAATTATAGAACAATCAAGAAAACATAGTGGAGGAAAACAGGGGTACGAAAGTGGCCTTTACCAGACGATTGCGAAGCCCAGGAACTAAAGTAACTGGGTAGCTTTGACTTGTTTCTCTCCCTGGGAGATAGTAATAACCCAGAAGTCGATGCATCCCCAGAAGAAGAAGTAGCCCTGTTCTGCAGTAAGCTTTCCTGCTGAGAATTGAAGTCGGGAACAGCGGCTTCGGCTGAAATTAAGAAAATAAAGTTTAAGATAAACGAAATCAGTAGTTATCAGTTTATCTTTTCATAACTTTACTGAGGTTTCGTCGACAAACTTAAACGTTAGAAACACCTTCTACAGCATGGAAACATCGTTGCTCGTAAAAGCAGTGCTAAATAGAATTAATTTAATGCACTTAAGTTTCATGGACTGACTTTAAAAGTTAGAACCACCTTGTCTAACAAAATAAATAGAAATACACAAAATAACTGTTTGATAGCTTTCTTTGAATGGTAAACACTAGGAAATCAACAAGAAGTAAGAACCCGCCTGTGTAGACACAGATAACATTTGAACTGTCACACACTAGGGTTTCATCGGCAGACTTGAAGTTAAAATAACCAGCATAAAAAATAAAATCACGCCGAAGCATTACACTACATTATGGCTTCCGATTCAGCGTAAAATCAATATTTTTAGGTTTGACTAGCAGCCTTCCTGTGCGAAGTACCTTCTAATTTACTCCAAAACGAGATGCCTCTGAAATATGAAAACAACAGTATTAATATTAATAATAATTGTAATGATAATAATAGCAATAATAGTAATTACTCTGATAGGCTGAGGTGGCCACAGAAACTTCCCCGATGACTCCAAAAGGGTTTTCGGGTGTGATGTGATGATCTCGATGATTTGCGGTGGTGACGGCACTCGTGCTGATTGACACTGTTGCCACTGACGTCGATGTTGATGACGTCGATGTTGATGACGAGGACGAGGACGAGGACGAGGAGACCTGGATGGGAAACAAACAACCGACAGGAACGCTATTAGAGTGATTTGCGATTGAGTGCAGTAAAACCAAAATGAGAGTAATACGACAGCCAATCAGAATAAAGCATAATGGCACAAGGAGCCGATGAGAAATCAAACTGAAATGTTAACTGCTCAAAGCGCGAAAAACTTAAGGGACGACGTAGGCTCGATTTCCGCCGTTTTCTCGAATCCGGTCGTCGATCCTCTGGAAAGGGAACTTCACACTTCCGGAGAGGAGAGCGGGCTCATCATCCGTACAGTAGCTGGTAATCGAGCCTGGCGACTCAATCGCGTTTGATTCAGTTTTAGTTCTAATTGGTTGAGAGAGATGTGCAAGTTTTCTTGACAAATTGTAGAGCTAACCCAAACAAAACTAAAGCAATTCCGGATTTCATTCGAAACTCAATTGAAACTGATAATTGGCTGAGAAAACTTGTGCCACATTTTAAATGAATGAAGCACAAGCTCGGGATAACCGTACAGAAACGAGGCTTAAAATAAAGGATACCTTTGGTTCCCAGCTTTCATGTAACGTGACAGGGTCTAGTCCCTGCCTGTCACTTACGCGATTACTTCTGGGTTGAGCTGGAGACTGCAAACAAGGTTTGTCCTGCAAATGGAAAGCTCTATGCGGCCCTGGCACATCACTATTGCGTCTTTCTAAAGTCAGCCTGTGAATTGGCTCGAGTGAATTAGCCACCGTAATACTGCTACTACCACTAGTCGTAACCGCACTGGTACAAGCGCCCATGCTTTGAGGCGAGGACGGCCTGTACGGTTTCCAAGCGGATGTCGTGGTTTGAGTGGAGTCTGCAGCAACAGGCGTCGAGGTCGAAAAGGTACTGGATGTTTCCGTGCCGCAAACAACGACATCTGCTGTAGCTACAACTGAATCTTCAAACACTTCTTGACTGCCCTCGCTAAGCTCTGGTGAGCTTTTCGTTCCTTCGCACGGTTTGTCGTTCATGTTAGAAACTGTCGGCTTCGTCGCTGGTGCCTGTACGGCCATGTTGTTCGCCTGTTCGATGGTAGGCCATTCAGATGAAGATGATGATGAAGGAATCGCAGCATAGTTACCTCGAACAGGAGCTGGAGAAGTGCTGGTTTGTGTCCTGTCTGAAGATGACAATGCATTGGATGTGGTCGCCGTAGACACAGAAGATGTCGTTTGTCCAATTGTGCTGGGCGTGTTTAAGGCTTGTGTGACTAGGAACTTCGCTCTTTGTACAGCTTTATTAGACCCCTGGAAAAACAACATATAACTCAGATCCCCAATCCTTAAACTCGCAAGATTTGACTTGCAATTCTCCCTTCTAGTTGCAATACTTACCTTGGTACTGAAATTGGTTGAGAGAGTTTGGTGTTCCATCAACATTACAGCTTCGAGCTGATACTTTTGTAGATTCTCACAACCAGTTTGCTAGATGACGTATTGAAATTGTAAGGAAATGTTACATATCAATCATTTCAATACCTTGATGGTGATAACTCTGTCCGTTGGGTTCTTTGGTTCTGGTTTTCCAATCGTTATTTGTGCTCCTGATTCTTCCTGGAAAGGCACAAAGTAAACGCATATAAGTAAATCAAGACACAAATCAATCAACAACTGGCTTCTAAATGGTTCACACCCGAAATAATTTTGTTTTAAAACTGACTAATTGAAACGAGTGGCGACGAAAAGTACACCCCCCACCCCCAACACAGCGGTCAAACGTTTGCGAATGTGCTAACTTCCAGGCTGTCAAGACAAAGTTGTCCCACATGAATAACAAGCAACCTAATCAGCCAGTAAGTGAAGTTGTTTTAAAACCGTAGTACTTTTTTTTGGTAAAGCTCAAAACAGAAATCAAAAGGATACCCATATTTGAATAAGTTTTGTGTTCGAAAAGCCTCAAGTTTTCCTTTCCCCTAGTTTTGTTTCTTCAAAATAAAGAACATCGTCACCATTTGGGACAACGTCTACATTTAAATAAAATACAAATGCCTTGTTTAAAGTAACAAAGAGGAAAAAAAGTATCTTCGAAAGCCAAATTTGGTCTAAAGGATAAAGAGAAAATTGATTTCTACTGCTCTCTGACGCTTAGCGGATGACGATCCAGGACACGTACTGTTATTGAGTTGATCTTGCTTCCTCCACGACCAATGACGCGCCCACAGATTGCATTGGGGGCTGTCAGTTGATACATTACTGTCCTGAAATTGAAGAGGAAAGCCACATTGAAGTCACAAACCCAACAGAATTCAAACAGAATACCGTATTAAGATTTTTCTTTTTGACAAAATGTTACTCAATCCAGTGAAAAACAATCTCCTTTTTTGTGCACCAAATGAGAAATCTATATTTCAACTTTCAGGAAACCATAGATGACCTCCTTGAGAGGTTCAAAGATTACCCAGGAAGGAATAATTGACAGGAATTATATATTAGAAAAAACAAACAAACTTGTGCCCGGAAATCTGAGCTTAAGTTTTTTAGGGTAGAAAGACATGACCAACAACATGGACACTATGGCTACTGGTTTGTTTCGCATAAATCAGCCAAATTTCCTCACCCAATCTTGAAAACTTACTTCGAGTTTGTACTCCGTGTGACTTCTTTCCAATTGTCCTCACCTCTCCCTAGCTGGGAGTGCTGTTGTTTTGACCTTGGTGAATGTACTAGGAGAGAGAAAGAAAACAAAAACCAAAAACAACTTGTTAATTGTCAAATTTTAAAAATGAAAAAGAAGTTGAAGAAGGGCAATAACTTTCACCAAGTATACATTAAGGGTCAAAGTCTTGGCACGCTTCAATTTTTTCCAACCTGGTTGCATTGAAGTTTGACCGCTCACTCTCCCCACCCTGATACAATTTTCCTCATCGTGCCCAGTACTTTGGCGATTAAGTGTGGGGAATATGACACCTAATAAGTAGAAATAAACTTGAAACGACCTGAATTGAAGTGACTTACTTGGTTTGTGTTCCCGTTCTCCTTCAATAGGTGTTGTTTTGTTACTACTGTTTGACGAATGGCCTGAGGTAATTGTACCCTTCGTAGAAGTCCTACTGTCAGTGAGTGTAGAGGACGTCGGTGTATTATGATCAACAGCATTTGCGGTATCTTTTCCTCTTCGTACCGATGCCTGAGTTGCATCTGATGACTTTTTTGTTGTTACTGCTCCACTAACGCTACAATCTTTTGAACTGGACGATTTATCACCCACAGAAGCTGTATTTCCGACACTTTGCTGCTTGCTGTACGAGTTCTTTTTAGAATTAGCAGAACTATTCGCTTTTTCGGATGATTCTTTCTTTGACGACGGCTTTTCAGCCTTAATTTGCTGCTTCACGTCTGGTTTCACACAATTCACCGTCACTGACTGTGTGACCTCGCTGGTTGTTTTAGTCTTCAACTCAATTTTCTGCGTCTTAACAGAGTCCACTTTGTCACTGTTCGAAGGATTGCTTTTCTTTTTAGTAATCTTGGCAGGTTCGTCGCTCTTCTTTCTAGAAGTCTTATCTTGCAAAGTGTTATTCTTTAACTCTGTTTCTTTCCCTGCACTCTGACTTCGAGCACGGCCCTTTTCATGGGAACAAAGAGAGTTCTGCGGCGTGGACACGTCCCCTGTACTGCTGAGAGGTCTTTTAGGCTTTGAACGACCGCTATCAAGTGTAGATCTCTTGTTACTGGTACAAATCTTGAGTTTATTTCTATCATCGTCAGTGATCTGTCTGTTTTTTAGTGCATCTTGTGCGAGGAGGTATTCTTTCTCTTCTGTTTTATTTTTCTGGTGGTTATTTCCAGTGAGTAACTCTTCAGAGCACGGCTCTCGTGTGGTGTCCACAACATCACACTCGTTTTCCTCTTGATCGTGGTCGAAGTCATCCACCATCTCTTGCGGTCTGTTCTCAAGAGGTAGGTCCTCACCCACTTGTCCTCCACACAACGCTTCGTTGTCCTTTGCTGCCTTCCTTCTCTTCCTCTTGTCTCTTCGTTTGGCTGCTGCCTTCTTTTTCCTGATGTCTTCTTTCTCTTTCTCGTGTTCCAGTTCCTAAAAAAAGAATGATTCTATCAAAACATTCGGCTGCAGCTAAAAATCTCGGCACAAAACCTATAGATCGTTCGATATAAGGGCTCTGTCACGATATGTTGAGTTGATTGAGCTAAGATAAGCTACCTCCACCTAAACAACGAAGTATGAAATTTCTACGATAAGGAAGGAAACGCAGTAAAGAAGCAACAGCACTAACCCTCAAAAAGATCTCAGTATTCCGCTGTACTTTCTGTTCCCTTGCCTTCTTTGCCTAAACAAGAATTATACAAAGGACTTTAATAGACAATATCATAAATTCTTTAACTTGTGACTAAAAGACGCAGCAATTCAACGCTTCGTGTCGTAGTATCGTTAAAAAAACCAAAAGTAATCAAAAGAACCAAAAATAATGATCAAAGATAGATAGACAGATAGATAGATAGTTTATTACCAAAAAATAAAAATACTTTGCAGCCCATAGGCTGAATTGCATACTTTTCCCAATTATTTATAAATATATATATATATATGAGACTATATAAAACTACGAAATTTACAAAAGATTCTAAGACCTAAAATAATTACGATTATACAGCAATGGAATAAATACGCAGTCGATGCTAAGACCCTAGATTAGCCCTCTCGCACATAGCCGGAATGAATGAAGATTTGAAACGATCAGTGCGGAAGCGTGGCATGTTAAACACGCGCTGGCGTCTTGTGTTGTACGCTGTATGATGTCTATTTGGCAGCAAACTGTCTAATTTATGAGATGGATTTGAGATAGACAAAAACAGATCCGTACATAACTTCTTGCGTCTGTCGTAGAGCGAAGCTAAACCATGCCTCTATAAGGAGTCACGATATGGCAGTTCTGGTGAAATAATAGATAATGCGCGCCTTTGGACCCTTTGGATGTCAGCACTAAGATACCCGGGTAACGCATGATGGAATATTTGCGAGAGCTATTAGTAAAATTAAAAGCGAGCGAATTCCTAGGAGCGCAGGATAAAGCAATTTTCAATTGGTTGTCGAAAGTAATCAGGGATTGCATCGGTTGTTTTTCTCTGCGATTGGTCCAGAAACCTGTCGCCACGCTCTCAACCAATCAGATGCAAAATTAAAATTGATGACGACTTGGTAGCCCGCGTTTTCCCGCGGCCGGGAAATTTTGATTTTGGTTTTACGACACTCAATCGAATAGCGCGCTAAGGTGAGTGTCGCGAACGATTTTGATTTAGCATCTGATTGGTTGAGCAGTTGGGCCAGTCTTCTCGCCCGATCCAAGAGCGAGGAAGGCAAAAGGTTGTTCTTAACATTAAATGGATATGGTCTCGAAAGGAGTTACTACACCCTATTTGCAACTGACCTTTTTGACCAAGTCGTAGCACTTTGTTCTTCCAAGCATCATGTCGTCATGTTTTTCTTTATCATCCACAGGTGCGACGAGACACTTCTGACATTGATCTTCAGATGGCAGGTGATTCACAACGCCCAGTAACCACTCCACAACCTGTAAGTGAAACAGCAGAGTGTGTAAGAAATTTGGCAAAGTCCCCTCGCCGACACCATAAAAAGAAGACCAATTCTGTTGTTGTTGAAAATAAGTCACTCGTTATTTAAGAATCTTATCATTTCCCCTTCTTTTCAAGTTCAAGATTTATGAAGAAAAATAATGTCAAAAGACCTTTTTTTTTTAGCAAATAGGGGTTTTCAGGATTTGGATTTTAATAAAGCACTTTTGTTTTTGTCAAAGTAACAATACTACTAATGGTAACAATATAGTTGGTTATAAAAAGAATGAACTTCACAAAATATCTCAAACCTCCACATGTCCATTCTTCATGGATGCAACAAGTGGAGTGTTGTTTCGTGAGTCGGTAGCCTGCCATCAAGGAAGCACAACATTAACATCGCAATTTAAAATGAACCATTAATAAATATATCTACCTGTAAATACACTATTATCATGAGAAATTCGTAAAACAATTCCTTTCTGCTCGAGAAATCCAGAACTGTATTGAAACAAGACGAACTGTTACACACCCCACACTGGCTCCTGAACGTTTCGATCTTGTGTGCAGTTTGTTAACTCCAAAGCTGTTGTGCGTGTCTCTTCATTTAAACATTGACTTCACCCTTTTGCTCCTAAGATCTCATTAGTGATTCTCCTTACTGTCTGCTATACAATTCTCATGATATCAGTTAGGAGAATTTGGAATTGGATCAACCAACAATCCCCTGATTGATTCTTTTCTTTGTTCTCATCACTTTCTTACTTGATATTAGATTAGTCTAGTAAGGAGCATTTCTGTCTTAGTCACTAATGGTAGTGGAAGGGTTAAAATATTGACTCAACATGCATCTATACAAGTTTCCATTTGTCACCTCTGTGTCTGCTCCCTTCTCAAGAAGCTGCACACCAATCTCTAGATGACCTTCTTTACAAGCCAGATGGAATGGAGTGCAGCCCTTTTTGGTGTGACACTCAACATTTGCATTCCTACAGGGATGAAAAGAAGACAAAACATCTCAAAACTTATATGATAGTCATCTGCATTTCAACTTCAATACAACCGTATAGAATTGTGTAAAAAAAAATTTCCTTTGCAAGGGAAGTATTCTTTATTGAATCCAGTGTCAGATACTATCTAGTGCATCTGGTTCATTGAGTTTGACCTCTTGTGCAACCCAGGATTTTACATCATTCACTGGATTTCAAGATGATTGAAATTATTACACCAAGCATAGCTTTACTTGTTGGACCCAAAATTGACCAGTGACACAGATTTTACAAGACTATATGGAAAGGTGCTAAAATAATTATCACAATGGAAAGAGACACTGGAGATAACCAGTTTACTTTAAGAAAATTTTCAATTTTTTTTCTACACATTTCATGCAATTTGATAATATCAGGTTTGATTTTCAGAATTAAGATATTTGAAGAACTTCCAGACCACACACATACCTTTGCAATCAACTTTACAGTGCTTGACAAAACACAAGAAAGGAGGGGAAGCATTCTCTATACACAATTTACAAAGATGGCAAGGAATTGTGATTTTTTTGATGTCCAAATTACTTGACTGGAATAACAGATCAGTTGCCTCCATATATTCTGCCTGACTTCCTTCAGATTCCTCCTACATTTTAATCTCTTTAACCCAGTTTTCACAAAAAGGAGGAGCTGTTTGACAAAAGTACTTCGAAAAATTTCCCAACTAGAATTAAAAACAACTGCAACTTAAACCAACCTGCTTAGTAACAAGGAGACAAGCTCAACATGACCTTTCTCTCCTCCAAGTGTCAGTGGATTTTCCCTGCAGGTAAATAAATATATCTTGTTAACCAAGAGCGAGGGCTGTATAGGGAGAATATCGGCCCAAGGTCTTGACAGTACGGACCTCGCTGCGCTCGGTCCATTCAAAAAAGACCAAGGGCTAATGTTCTTCCAGTATGGTCGCGAGCAAGCTTGGTTAATAAGAGATTTATTATACAACTGAAGTTCAAAGGGACACAAGTGCGGTATCATTCAGGACCATTCGGGACAGTGTCCGGTCCAATACTGAGAGAATATTGACTGGCAATAGAGCATTTTGATTGGTTGATTTTAGTTATTGGCCCTCTGACTTCCCCAGTCGTGTAATAAATAACAATTAAAAATTGCAATGTAAATAATAACTTAAGTGATTTAAGTGGTGACACATCTAAGAGGTGGCTTCTCTCCATTAGGAGGCTTGAACATAGCATTGATTCATGGCAAATAAAAATTGAAATTTTTGCCATTTGTTTCAGTTGTTTAGACACTTAAATTGAAGTGAGGTAATTTGATAGTACTAATTTTGAACTGGAGGGAACAAGAAATACTCACTAGACTATGAACAGTCCCCCCTTTTCAGGAAAGTCTGTCATGCTGGTAAAAAAATCAGTGAAAAAAATCGTAATCTTGGCACAAATTTTTTTTTTACTGATCTTTTTGTTCACTAGTAATATGTGGGTAAAGGCAATATGCAGACAGATTCTAAGAGCTGCAAATCAGCCTCGTTACCACTTAAACCAACACTGTACCTGCTGTTTGGGAATGGTGCGTTCACACTGGCTCCATAATCCAACAACAGCTCTACTACATCTACATGATTTTCACGACATGCCTAGAAAGAAAAAGAAAATGCATTCTTAGATTAGATTTTTCTCCTTTCAATATGGCTCCCACAACCAATGTAGTGTGAACTGTTTTTCTCAAACATTCTGCCATACCTGGAACAGTGGGGTGATACCAGTTTTTGTTCGGCAGTCTCTATTTGCAACATTTTCAAGGAGAAGTTCTGCAACATCTCTGTGACCTACAGAATATGAACAGTGAGAAAAAAAACAGTATTTAAAAATAATCTCTAAATTGACAATGATAGATGGCAAAGAATCTGTCTTCTTGAACAGTGAAACCTCTGGCTAAATTACAAGCCACTGAGGAAGAATGGGTTGAAACCAAAAACTCTTGCTCGACACAGGTAAGCTTTACCACAAATGTACACCAGTAGCATCATTCAAGGGGCAAATGAAAGTTTCTAAGTAGGGGGGAGTCAAATTTAAAAGAAATACATAAATATCAACAAGAATTTCCAAAGGGGTGGTGGGAATTCAAATTAAAACACCCAGCCAAAAGGGTGAGGAGCTAATGAAAAATTTCTTGAACACTGCCTTTTCCATTGAGATAATAGTAGTCATTTCCACAGGAATCCAGTGTCAGATACTATCTAGTGCAACAGGTTCATTGAGTTTGAACTCTCGTGCAACCCAGAATTTTACATCACTCACTGGATTACAAGATTAGAGTTACATGTAAGTCTTGTGGTACTTTGATACAATCTGTGCTCTTCACAACCAAAGCTTACACCATGTTGAACAATCTGTAGCTTTCAGAACAGTTTTTCAAGAAGTTAATGTAACATCAAAGCTTTTCTGTATCATTTTTAGGATTACTGTATTTGTAAAACACTTGCTCCCTCAAAATTACGATCAATTCTTGCAATGGCAAGCTCAAAGTACTCAACAATCTTATGTGCTGCAAAAATAATAGTCTGAATCAACAAACTACATGTAAATGCACAAACCTTTCCAGCAGGCCATAAAAAGAGGACTCTGACCATAGTTGTCAGGAAGTTCTACATCAGCACCATGTGATAGAAGCTGTTCTGCCACAGCTACATGCCCCTCCCTGAAGATTTAACCCCAATATCAGTACTGACGGTAAGATTTGCTTTTAGCAATGGAAATAAACAAATCTTGATTTTCAAGGAAATTTAAAGTGGTTAAAAAGGAGAATCACTTATGAGAATGAAATATTGGGAATGGAAGGTTTAAGCATGAGCAAACCTTGTAGCCTCCATAAGAGGTGTGCAGCCAGTTTTAGTTTGATGATCAACCTTGGAGTTGTGTTTGAGAAGTAGATTGACTACATCAACATGACCTGCAAGGAGAACAAAGGTATAAGCATGTTCAAAGTTTGAAAGGATTCCTTGTGAAGGTAAATTATGTATCACAAACTTGTGATGTTGTACATGTAGTTCCTATTTTTTTGGTTTGCTTTGAATTTTTAAAATGCCGTCTACTTTACTTCACATGAGCTTTTGCATCTATTTCAGTATCTAAAGCAACTACACACCAACCCCACCCCACCCCCCTTAACCCTAAACAATCAACTGATAACAAGTAAGGGTAAATGTCAGGTTAGGGGAGGGGTAGGTGCAAAGTTGCTCACATTGATCTGAACTTTTTAATGGGCCAGCTAGGGACAAATTTTGTCCTCTGTTGATAAAGGAATTCTTTAGCTAGGCTTCCCAAATGATATTTCATCCCAATGCAAGTTACCAACAAAAACTTCAGGTTAATTACTGATACTTAGAAGGTGTGACCTTTTTGAGTCCAAATTCAAATGTTGTAATGGTCAGACACATCATAATATACAAGTCACCTTGTTCCCTAAATAATAAAGACTCAATGTTCCTTTCCCTACACTCTTTGGTATAATAATAATCTTAACACCCAAAATTGTAAGCTGGCTTTGGCCATTCTCTATTCTACTGAAAGTCTCCCATACGTGTATCTCACATGATTTTCTCGGTGGAAACTTACTATAAACACACACACACACACACACACACACGCACACACACACACAAAAAAAACCATCACAACAAGCATCTTCTGACATGAATACCTTTCCAGCAGGCCAGAGTAAGAGGTGTATCATCATTGCTCCCTGAAGGTGTGTTTATTTCAGCTCCCTTGTTCAGCAAAAGACGGGTGGTTTCTACATGTCCCTCTCTGGAAAAGAGATTTCTCATTACATTTTTAAGTTTCAAATGAAGAAAAAAAGCAGTTGTTCAACTTTAAGCCTTTACTGATATATATTTCATACATTTGAAAGATTGTATCCTTCACAAAAATGTTTATAACAATACCTTGAGGCTAGCATCAAAGGAGTACAACCAGCTTTGTTGCGATGCTCAATGTTCGACTTATGTTCCAAAAGAAGTTCCACCACGTTAGTATGACCTGAGAACAAATGAGCAAGTAGTTCACACTGTTATTCCTCACCTAGAGGCACACAGAGATTACATTAATGCAGCACGAGCCTTTTTCACTCTCAACTGCCAGGACTTATAATTATTTCCATAGCATGGAGTGATTTGAAGTGTACCCCCCATGTGCTGGGGAGCACTTAGTATGGAAAGGCATACCATCTCCACGTAAGAAAAAGCATAAATACTCTTAAGCCAGAAAAACACTGATAAATTTTTTGTGCCCATTGTAGCAAATTTATCATCATTATCATCCTTTATGGGAGATGCAGTGGCCCAAGACTAAATGTCAAGAGGTCTGGGTCCTAGAGCAGGCCATTACATTGTGTTTTTGTGCAAATCCTGGGCAAAAAACTTTATTTTCACAGCAAGTCTCTCCATCAAGGAGTAAAAATGGGTGCCAGCAAATAGACAGGGAAGCTTGATGAAAAGCTGGGGGGGGGGGGTAGCCCTGCCCTGGACTAACATCCTATCCAGGGGTGGGGGGGATAGAAATACTCTAGTCTATTGTTCACATCATACTATGGAAACCAGGATAAGCTTCAGCTTGGCTTAAGTGCAGACTTTACCATCATCCTCATTATTATCATTGAGAAACTCACAAAATTTCCACTGACATTACCTTTCCAGCAAGCCAGTGTAAGTGGGATGTTATTTTCACTACCAGAGGGGACATTAACTTCAGCATTGCTATCAAGAATCAGTTTAGCCACAGAATAGTGACCCTCCCTGGTGAAAAAAGCAGAATGCAAATTTGAATGTTAAGTTCTCAATGATGATGACCTCTTGAATTTTTCTCAAGGTCACTGTTGTTATTGCAAACTTTTTAGCCCCTGAATTTGCTGCAAAACTCTTCAATATATAAAACACACATGTGTCACAGTCAGGTCTTTCTAAAATCACTTTTAAAGATGTCCAACACTCTCACGTTAGATTCTTTTAATTCAGATACTTTGCAATGTTTCTAACTTTAGCTAAAACAATCTGGCTGAGTAAGAAGCTAAAGATTATTATTATTAGTATTAAAACAAATGTTAACACATGGAAAGCTCATGCAAATTTCTATGATATTGCATGACTAAAGAGTCAAGAGATATAAACAAATATAAACAAAGATACAAAGAAAATAGCAATGTTTACAGACATAAAATAATGCTGAAAACCACCAATAAAGAAATTCAATCAAAGATAAAATGATCAGAAGTGTAATGGTTGAAAATTTCACCAATTCCACAACATTAAGTGAAAAATTCTATTAATTAGAAATCTCAAGTATTAACAATCTCAACTACTAATAAGAAATGCCGAAGGTGTATGACTGGATTCACTTGTTATTGTTTTAAAAGGATTAAAATAGTACTGTTGCTATGGTAGACAATAACAACACATTACTAATTCATAAACACAGAAGTCCAATAAGCAAAACTGCAAAATCTTAATTGTGTTTACTTTTGATCCAAAGAGGATTCAAAAAATCATTACACACTGTTTGCACACACGCTGTTGAACAAGACATTTTTTTTCACTCCCGTAAAACATTTTTTCCTACATTCAGAGAACTTTGATATTTTTTCATATACAGTCAGCTGTACAGGACATGTCCACTTAACACTTATTGGGAAAATTCTATGAGGATATTTTCAAGAAATCCCTGAGTTTTTTTAAGCATTATCAACTGTTTTGAGCAGAGCTATGTTGTAGAAATCAAACAAGTCTTACTTGCATTTGTTTGTTTCTTGATGAGTGTGGGAGTGAATCCATAACAAACCACAACACAAGCAAAGTGGTTTGAAGCCAGAAATGAACTAAGTGGGTAAGTTTCTAAAGAAACTGTGGTGCTGCAGTAGTGGAGGAGTTGTTAAGATAATTCTGTTCTATCAACTGAACTGATACTGTAAATTGGCCACCGTAAAGAGTTTTTAAAGATGACCTTTCAAGCGTTAGCCCTTCAAATCTAAATAAAATTAGTTAAATCATAATGTTGCAAAACTATATCTCTGTAGTTCTCTATATGTATTATTTTTTCTTTTAATTCTGACCATAAATCATGGTAAGCAACAACAAATGCAAGTTTTCAAACATGGCACAATTAATTATTTCTGCTTAATATGGATTCTTCAGTTACTTTGAGAGAATTAAATTGATTGTAAATGATTGTGTGTAGAATTTTTCATTCAGCATACCAGAAAATGATGAAACTACCCATAGCATTGATTGAACATAAAATTCCAAACTTCAACAAACATTGCATGGTAACCACATACACCATTGGTTGACTTAACAAATCAGATTAAATTTAATTTTCATTTCTTTAATCAAAAATAGCATTCTTGAAATTTTAAAAAGAAATTCATCAGTATGTTCAGTTTAAATTATCCACAAAAAAAAAACAAATTTCTAATGAACTGCACATAAAGTTACAGAAATCAATGCTCTAAATATCAGAGAAATTCACATGAAAGAATAGTGACTGAATACAATAAGACCATCCATTGTTTAAATTCACAAGAGAGAATTGATGCATTTAGTTATTAAATAGATGGTTAAACCTTGGAGAACCAATCTTGTTCAGTATGTCATCTATATACAGTTCACTAATTAATGAAAAAAATCTCAAAAACAATGTTCATGAAAAGTAATACCTGCATGTACCCTTATCAGCCAATATTTAACCCTAAAAAAAATGTTTCTAGTGTGCCTCACCCGAGATGAACAATTCAGCATTGGATTTTGATTTTAAAAAATTCTTCCATGGAAGACAATACATATTGTAAAATTTATGTGCTGGTATAAATTTCCTGTGACATTTGACATTTAATGATGTCAATTTCTCCATTCTATTTCAAGAAAGTGTCTATTTGACACACCAAGAAGCAAAAAATGAAGTTATCATTCAGTTGTGAAATGCACAACAAACAAAATGAAAGCATTTTGAAACCAGCATCACAAGAAAAAAGTGTAAAACAGACTGCTTTCTGACAGATGAACCATTCAAATGACAGAACAAACTTGTAATGCACATACAGTTCAGCATCAAAGAAAACAGGTGCTACCAGAATTCTAAACTTCCTGCCAACCAAAAAAAAGGGAGACAAGGGGGAAAAAAGATATCAATAAAGGAAAATTGAATTTAAAGTGCACCTAAACCCAAAATTTTTTTTCACTTAACGAATAAAGCTTATTTTTTGGAGTATTTCCGTGCAAAAATTTTTTAATTTGCTTAAATCTTAAATTTTCTGTGCCTAGTCAAAATACGGAAAATCGGCGGCCATCTTGCCCCACGACCGAGTTTAAAGAGGAATGGCTCTAGCGGATAATGTGACGTCAAATCGAGAACACGAAAGTCTGCTTTTCACACATTTTCACTTGTTTGGGAAGGTTGTGGTCGATATTGTCCGAAATATGCCGACCAGGTGTATTGTATGAGGAATGTATGAAGCGTGATACCCTCTTGCAAATTTCACACGTTGCTACATCCTCCTATAACACACTTAGACGGCATATTTTCGGACAAAATCGACTACAACCTTCCTAAACAAGCGAAAATGTGTGAAATGCAGACTTTCGTGTTCTCCATTTGACGTCACATTACCCGCTAGAGCCATTCCTCTTTAAACTTGGCTGTGGGGCAAGATGGCAGCCGATTTTCCGTATTTTGACTGGGCACAGACAATTGAAGATTTGAGCAAATAAAAAAATGTTTGCACAGAAATACTCCAAAAGATACGCTTATTTCGTTAAGCGAAAAAAAATTTTTGGGTTTAGGTGCACTTTAAACCAACTAAAACATAGAGAAAGCCAAACAATGGGGAAAAAGTTTAAGAGAAACTTTTCTCCTACAAAGAAAAGGAAACCTTCTCCAAAGCAAAATTTTGTCACTCTCATTATTGATAAAAGTCTAACAAATTATAACAGATACCATCTTAGAAATTGACATCTGGATCAGATGTCTAGTAAATTTAACAACAGTGAAGATTTTTCCTTGAATACAGTTGAGCACAATATCATTCTTGAATTATAAATGTGTATAAAATGCATATCTCAAGAGAGGATTCCTCAATAAAGCTTCATATGGTAAATGCATGTCATTTCTTTTAACTGAACAAATAGACAATTGTTCTTTCTTAACCAAGCCCAGTCTGATCACAACAGAATCAAGGAAGTAACCAAAAATTCCCCATTCCTGAAAGTTTAAGTTGAGCATTCATCTAGTGCCAACTTTTCTTTTCCACAATCTTTCCTTTTTTCAATTTCTGTACTTGGTTTAGAGGGAAAAAAAAGGATTTTTTCATAACCAATAAAGACCTCTCTATTTTGATATAAAGCTCTCCACATTATTGCAACTTATATAATGCAGATAACTTTTCAAATTCTAAAATCAGTCTCAGAAAACCACTACATAGACACATCTACTTGAAACTTTGCAAAACTTACGAAAGCTCTTTGCTGATTGAGTAGAACACTAGGAGCAAACAGAAATGAACCCTTATGGTTGACAACAAAACGCTACAAGTTCTTCAATCAGGAACAACATCAAGAGGTAAGGGGTTCCAATTTAGTCTTGAAGATGTTTGATGTCATCATGATGAATTAGATGAAAGACAATGGGAAAGTGTAGCCAATTTGTTAGATTGAAGATAACATCAATTGCTCTGTTTTGAGAATCTGAGAGGATATATTAAACTACGACATGCATGAGACATTTACTAACAAAAGACTCACCTCACTTTATCTTACAATGTACCTTCTACCTGATCCCCACTTCATTTTACCTTAGACCACTCATTATCTACCAAACAGTACAAAAGCATTATATTTTAATTTTCTTCTGCTATAGATACAAATTTTAAGTGTTGCATACCGTGCCGCCAGCATAAGTGGGGTACACCCATCCTTTGTGCGATGCTCAATATTGGAATTAAACTCCAGTAGAAGTTTAACTACATCATGGTGACCCTTCCAACAGGCACTTGTCAGTGGAATATCATTATTACTTCCACTTGGTACATTGACCTTTGCCTTTTGTTCAAGTAACTTGCGAGCAACATCAGTGTGACCCCCCAGTGCGGCAAACATAAGTGGAGTGAACCCTTCCTTGGTACGGTGCTCAATATTGGCATGTCTTTCCAGAAGCAGCTCAACAACATCACAGTGCCCCTTCCAACAAGCGAAGGTAAGGGGGCTATCCTTGTTGCTATCTGACTCAACATTTATCTCCGCTCCATGATCAAGCAACATGGCAGCCACTTTCACATGACCAGCCAAAGCTGCAAACATCAGAGCTGTACAACCATCTTTGGTACGGTGTTCAACATCAGACGTCCTTTCCAGAAGCAACTCCACGATGGCCTCGCTGCCAAGGGTGCAAGCCCAGGTGAGGGCACTGTCAGAAGTAGTCTCCGTGGGGGCATCGATGTTGGCGTTATGGTCCAACAGATAACGTGCCACATCGACATGTCCCTGACTGCATGCCTCTAACAAAGGTGTATTCCCTGCCTTGTTACGATAGTCAACATGGGCTCCGCTTTCCAACAACAACTCCACGATGTCGAGTTTCCCTTGCCGACATGCCAAACTCATCATTTCATCCAAGCTCACGTCCGCTTCGGCGACAGAACGGAACACAGGGTCCGTTTCGTCAATAAGCCCAGGTTCAATACCTTCATCGTTCTCTTCGTCGGCAGAACTCATCGTCCACATGTAACGTTAAGCGAGATTTCGTCAAAACGTAATCACTTGCCTTGAGAAAGTGAGCACTGGTGGAGATTTAGTTTCGACTCTGTAATTTCATCGTGGCCCTGTGAAGTTTATGGAAAAAAACACATGTCAGGGAAACAATAAGCCTCCAACTGAAGATGAAGACTGAAAATCGTGATTAAGAATTAAAGCTCCCTTCTCCTTTTTTTTCAACGTGTACTTTTTAATTCTCTTTCTCCTGGACACAGTTGTGTTTAAATTATGAACAGAGCCTCGACTACCGTAAACTTAATAATTCAAGAATAAATTTGAAATTCCCGTACCTTATTGAAATCTATCGGCCAAACGCTGCCAATTTTCAGGCGGTTTGATGTGGTGATTTACAATTAAATGAAGGCTCCCTCATCCAGAGAAGTGTGGAAGTTTTTCCCCGTCGAAATCACTTTCTACCTTTTACAAATTGTTCGTTCTCTCTGGCCGGTGCAGCGCGCAGGATCGGGGGACAACACATGCACATGCTTGGTGACCGCGCCAACTACCTCAGTTTAGAGTCGGCGAGACAGTAATTATCCCTCTATATATTCATTTCCTTTATGCAAGTAATCTTGAAAATTGGCTGCTCTTCGTGGAAAATAAAACAGCGTAAAACATATGTGAAAAAATCGATTTGCGCATTCAAGGTTTGACTGAAAAAACTACGGAATTGGTATATCTTTTTAAGAGATCCAGTGTCACGTCACGGAGTCAAGTTTTGTTCAATCGACCTACCTTGATCACTTTTTTTTTTTATATAAATCTAGAATCTCTACGCTGTTTATTCGTGTAGATCAGACCACAACGGCTGAAACATTTCAATTGTATTTATTGTTTATTTTAAGACAGGGGTAATCTTTGCACAAATCGCTCTCATTCTTGAGATGTAGACAATATTACAGAAACAATACATAATTAAGCTTATATTGACTCTCTAATTCCTAAAAGTGACGAACGTGTAAGTTCTCTTAAACATTTCCCTCTGTCACCTGGCAAACAGGTAACAAAAATCGAAAGTTCAATCATGTCAGCTAGGGGGTCTCACTTGTTATAATACGAGATTCTCCTTGCTTATTAATTTTTTTTCACTCCCAAGAACTGAGTAGTATTTAAGTCTCGATTCTGTCTGCAATACAATTCTTATGATGCTAATTTGGAGAGTTTGGTATTGGATCAACCAATAATCCCCTAATTGATATTTTTCTTTGTTCTCCTCACTCGTCTGCTTGGTATTGTGTGGATATTGTAAGGAGAAATTTTGCCTTGGTCACTCATGGAAATTAACACGGAAAGGTTTAGAAACCAGAATCGAGAGTTTTAGTTAAGATATTAGAATTTGGTCAAGGTTTCAACAAAAAACCCATTGAGTTATATGACAACTAGTACGCTGAAATTCAAGAGAAAAGCCAAAATCACAATGGTAAAGCTTTGTGTAATATCAAGGAAGACGAAAGAATGAACCATTAGAGAGTTAAAATTAATAATGACAAGTGTTATTTAAAATATTTGATTTTCTGGCTTACTTGCGTCGTTAGACGTGGACAATGTCGTCTCTAGCTGAGTCGGGGCGGGTTTATTTCGGACCCAGACCACCCCTCCTCTGGGAAGTACTCTTCTTACCATAAAGCTATCGCTGATTTTAGTCTGTAAATGCTGTGAACCTCGAAGTAGCTACGGATAATGAAGTTCGTTGGTCTGGTTGAGGGTAGTCTTTTAAAGAACAGTTCAACAAGGGAGCCACTGATATGAAGACTACCGCTCATGTCGTTGAAACGTCAGGCAATTGTCTCCCTCACCAGGGCAATCTCAAAGCACCATGAACAGGTTTTCTTCTCGATAGGACGAGTATCATGAGACGAATTCAAGCCATATGAGCCCTCTATTTGCGCTAGAACTTTAATTTTGCTAATATTCTTCAGTCTGTTCTCCTTACATTCCCTCTGGTACGAGCTTCCTAAATTAATGATCATTTCTTTTATTCTCATGGCCTTTACATTTGATTCAAGGGTGATGCTGTTAGAGGAAATTAGAAGCCGGTCACGTACGCTTACAGGGTTAATGAGATGCTAGCGAATCAATAATAAGAAGCTCTTTCTAAACAGGCTACATTTTTTGATAACAGAGTAGTATGATCGCTGATAAAAAAAAAAAAACAAAACAAACAATGACCATTTGGCCTTAGTAAGAAATATCTTGCTAAAGAGAAGAGTTCGCCTGCCGGCTCGACTCTCACGTGTCGTGACCTCTCGTGCTTTGATTGCACCGTTTGGAACTGCAACTTCATATTTTAAGTCGGGAAGAATGGAAAAGGAGAGGGAGGCAGGTCTAGAAGAAGCTGTTTTGGGGAAGGGGAGCTGGAGAGTGACAGAGGGATAAACGCTCCAAAAAAAAAGAAAAAAAGAAAGAAATCAGGCCACTTTTACCAATCTTACCCAGTCCTCTTTGATTTCATTTTCATGTTCATTGTAAGTACCTTCATCTTCAAAGCCACACGAGTCAACTAATTACTGTCTTGCTGATTTAAATTCAATTTAAATAGTGTAATCATATTCTCGTCACCTTTCAACCGAACTTCTAAACAATTAAACATTGTGATAATAGGGACTAGTGTCAGATGACCTGGTAGCACCTCACTTCGATTGTAACGATATCAAGTGACTGCAATTTGAAGAATTGCCGCAAATGAACGTTTGCGAGCACGCCCTTACTATAAGGGCCTCGGCACGAGTGTTCCTTTGCCCGTGAGAAAGACTAGAAAGTATGGGGTCATGACCAACGTGAGCCCACGAGAGGACTGCGAGCCGGAGTCTCACTGATTATTAGTGCCAGACCCACGGCAAACCTCTCATTGACTCGTCTCAAACCTTCCCACGGGCGAAAAGATGTGCGTCGTGCAACACCTACAATGCAGACTAGATCGACCATTGTAGCGAATAGAGGACTGTAATCAGCTTGTTAGAGAGGGATTGTTAAGATAGGTGACAAAGAGTGACTGTAGACCGCACGAAAACAAAATCATTCCCAATGCGCAACTTAATTTTTCCCGGAACTTTTAAAAATTTAAACACCTCTTAAGCTGATTATTCATAGTAATGAATAAGCATGATCTTAAGCATGATTATTCATTCCCATCAGGACGGCAACCGCTGTTATTTGCAGACATTGGAAAGCTGAAACCTATATGCATTCAACTATCATCATGCTGAAGAAATGGTCATAAACATCCCCTTATCTTCGACACAAACGCCGAAATCACTTCACTTAATGACTCTAGGGTCGACAGAGATTTTAACGTGCAAGATCACAAGTATTGAAAAAAGCGTCTTTTTGCGTCCCCTACGACTCAAATAATTCATGAAGGTTTCCCTATCGCCTTATAAGTAATAGATATACTTTGCATGTTAGATTAAACTGAGCTGTCACTTTCAAACTAAGAAGATTTTAATGGATGGTCTAATGATCTAATCCTGATCATTCTAAACAACCAACCCACTTCAGGAATAGTACAACCCCATTGGAATATTTGTTTTTCTAATGATTTTCCTTTCGTGAACTAGGGTCGGCCTATCAGAAAAAAATGCATAAATTCATGTATCTGAAAAGAAGATAATTTGCCGAGGCGAAGAGCATGGGTCAAAGAAGGGCCTGGGTGCTAAGTATTAGGAAGAGTTATGATAAACAGGCTAAAAGGATCAAGTTTTGATCACATGCTGCTAAATGGAATCCGGGGGATATAAACATAGTTAGAAAAGAAAAAACTTTGCCTGCTAGACAGTTTGTCTCGAGTTTTGGTATTTACTTTTCCAAGGAAATCAAATGTATTGGCCGAGCGGGAATCCAATATTAATATAAGTGCTCTTGAAAAACTTTTTTTTTTAAAATTTCCGATAATCAGGTAAAAAACTAACCGACTCATTCCTAATATGTGAAATCTTATCAAGACTATATCATGGCCTGTACAACGACCCTCCTTTTTTTGCCATAGAATCTACTGAACAACAGACCTGACTCACTTTTGGAAATTTTTTTATATAATTATGAGCAAAAAAGAGAATATAACTCTGTGTAAGGAACAATAACTCTTCTTAGTTTTACATAGTACAAGATATCATAAAAAATTTAGCAGTATGAAATCAGATTATTTTGCGATTTTTAGGGGCCGATATTTCTGGACGTAATTTTTGCGGTCAGACAACTTTATTCATAACTTGTCTTGAGCCTGCTTTGTTGATTTGCTTTGTTTATGACTTCTGACTGAAGTTATTGTATTTTGATGATGAATTTAAACAATATTAAATGTTACGTATTTCCTCCTTGCGTGGATAAATAGGGAAAAAATGACATATTGATATTGATAAGAAGTTAGAAGTTTGGGGACACGAACAGTGGCAAAGAAAAATTCCTGGGCTTCTTCCATGGAACATTGCGACCGACATACGTTTTTTTTTTTTAAAGAAAAGTGATGGAAAAAGATTCCCAGGAACAGCGAGGTCTTTTAACCAACTTCCCTTTCTCATATTTTTAAAGTCATGATCGATATAGAAATATAGTGATTGAATAGAAATCGTTTCTGCTTACTTTCTAAGAAGCGTGGAAAGCGTTTTGGAGCGATCATAAGCATATTTAGAGAGCAAGCATGAAGATGGTTGGTGCAGCAAATGACTAACCACAAACCGGGAACAATCCAGGCCTATTTCAAAACTTGGGTCTGGAAAGATAATCAAGCAGTTCAAGGCACTAACTAGTGTAATTTCATTCAAGACCCCGAAAATTACACCCAGCATTGCAGCAAATGCCTTTTGAAAACAAATACG